AGCCTGTTTCAGATTCTGTGTCTCCCTCTCTCTCTGACCCTCCCCTGTTCACACTGTCTCTCTCTCTCTCAGAAATAAATAAAACATTAAAAAAAAAATTTAAGAGTTAGAGATGTACTAATGGCCAACGACCTAATCACTCACCTACTTTTACAGGGAAACACAGCCCAAGTTCATAACAAAAACTTAACAATGAACTTCTGAAGGCCCAGTCTGTTGGTGCAATCTCTCTACATACTGCATGTTCACTCCAACACCATGGCAGAGACCGACCTCGCCTGAGGTCACAGCTCGTAGATCAAGAGTTGGTGACGATGTTACAATGAGTGCTGTAATATACAACAGCGTACCTGGGACAGGAACCAGTGTCTGAAGCCTCCAGACATCACTGGCAACACTGACAAGAGAACTGAAAACTCCCAACCCTTTCCTTAGTCATTGCAACAGAAAGGAATCAAACGAACTAAAACACCAGAAAGCAAGTGCACATACCTGTACTATATCCCAGTTCATTTCCACCTCCTCCTTAATATTGGTGGCATTTGCTGGAAGCCTCACGGGCTGCCCTTGGGGACATGTTTCCGTCTTCATTTTCTTTAAAGGAGACTGACCAAATGTAAAGTCATCTCCGTTCTCTTCCTTCTTGCACGCACCTTCCCACGTGGCGCTTGTGGACGGCGTCTCGGCAGACTCGTGCCCACTCTCCATGGTGCTGGCCCTGTTGGTTTCTTCATCAACTTTCAGCTTTTTGGTCCTTTGACCTGAAGGTGACTGAGCTGAATTTTTCCGTTTTGTTTTTGCTGTTTTCAGAGTCTGCACAGTATCCAATTTAATTTTTCTGTCTTCCAAATCAACTTCAGCAACAGCCACAGAGTTATTCTATCAAACAGTAAATAGAACACATGAGAAGTAAAAGAGAAAAACCGAATGCTCTAGAATATTATTCAGTAATAAAAAGGAACAAATTACTGATACAATAACTTAGAAGAATCTCAAGGCAACTACAAAAAGTTACATACTTTATAATTTTACATAATACTAACGATTTATGAGTTATGTAACATTCCCTCCAAAATCAGTGGTTACTGGGTGTCAGAGACTGGGGTAAGGGTCAGGAGGCAGGTATAAGGCAAATATAAGGCAATCTAGGGATCCTTGTGGTGATGGAACTGTTCTGGGTGGTGGATTAACATATGCATACATGTGATAAAACTGCACAGAACTATACATAAAGACACAAATAAAACTGGAGAAATCTCATAAGATCCCTGGATTGTATCAATATAAATATCCTGGTTGTGATATTTTACTATCGTTTTGCAAAATGTTATCACTGGAAGAAATTAAAGGGAACACATGCTCTGTACTGTTTTGGTTTTTTTTTTTTTTTTTTTTACAACTGCATGTGAATCTATAACTATCTAGAAATAAAAAGTTTAACTTCTAAAAATGAGTAAAGGATACGTCTACACGTGCTGGAAAAACCAAGATTTAAAACCTGCAATCAAAAGTTAACCCTTTGGGGGTAAAAAAAAAAAAAAGTAACACTCACACACTCATAAAACTCAACAGGCTATACCTGCCACCAATTTATGTAGAAGGCAAGGGAACAGAAAACACAGCATGAGAGCAGAGTAGTGCCAGGCGTTTCTCTTTAGGAGTCTGAGTAGCAGTCCACACCAATGTCCAGGGGCTACTCTGTCAACCACTCCAGCCCTCATGACAGCTCAGGTGTGAAGCAATGAAACCTGGCATTCATTTTGGCAGTGGAGTGGTAAATAACATCGAGATCCCACCTGTATGGAGTCTACAACTTCACAAGCCACCCTTTTTGGGGTTACCTAAGTGATGCAGCTGGCACAAACTCGACCAAAAGAATTCCCAAACTATTTTTCAGTCAAAATCCATTTTTCTCTTCTTAATCAAGTATTTTTCCAGAGTTACTGACTACTGAAAATACTGGAAACTACAATAAAGAGCACTGCACCTCCCTCCCCCCAACCTAATACCCACCTACCACCACCAAACTGGAAATGATGTACATTAAATAGCCCTCTGGTTACTACATTTTTAGCTGCAACAAAATGGATAAGAACAGGGATATAAAAATAGAACAAGTCCTAGGTCCATTAAGAGTAGATAATAACCTGATCAAATGACTTAGCAACAGAAAGAAGGTGTCAATCATACAGAGGGCTGTCAGCCATAGAACAGAAAAAGGGGAACTGTAAAAAGCAAATATGATCAGCATTCTTCTAAGCAATGTACAAGGAAGAGAAAAGCCTAGCAAACGGAAGATTCTGAGTTATTTGGTTCCAATGGTAAGACAGCCCTCCTGTGAGACGGATACACCAGACTATCTTAGATTCGTGCATTTAAAGCATTTGGGGCACCTGGGTGGCTCAGTCGGTTAAGCATCCGACTTTGGCTCAGGTCACGATCTCACAGTTTGTGGGTTCAAGCCTCACATCGGGCTCTGTGCTGACAGCTAACTCAGGAGCCTGGAGCCTCTCTTCAGATTCTGTGTCTCCCTCGCTCTCTGACCCTCCCCCGCTTGCGTGCTCACTCTCTCTCTCTCAAAAATAAATAGAAAAACAACATAAAAATTAAAAAAAAAAAACCATTTGATGTCACTGTGACAAACAGAATACCTAGACCAGAGCAGGCATTCAATAAACCCAAAAGAATGGATTTATCTAATTCTCCCAATCTGAATCTATGCTCATCAAGTAAATTTCTGATTCTCATTTAAGTGCCTACTTACTTCAACCTCTGAGGAGAAAGGATACCAGTTAGGAAAATGTCATTAATTATTAAACCACTCTTATGAGCACGGCTGATGTAAAACCACTCATGAGAGATATATTGTTTCCTGAAATGCTGACAAAATCATGTCGTTATCTTAGAAACCCAGTTCCAGGGCACCTGGGTGGCTCAGTCAGTTAAGCGTCCGACTTCTGCTCAGGTCATGATCTCCCAGTTCATGAGTTTGAGCCCTGTGTTAGGCTCTGTGTGGACAGCACCGAGTCTGGAACCTGCTTCCAATTCTGTGTCTCCAACTCTCTCTGCCACTCTCCCACTCACACTGTCTCTCTTTCTCTCTCTCTCTCTAAGATAAATCAAACATTAAAAAAAAAAGAAAGAAAGAAACTCAGTTCCATCACTTATATGTTATCTATGAGCAAGTCACTTAGTATTTCTCACCTTGGCTTTCTCTTCTATAAAGTCAGGCTAATAACAGCATCTGCCTCAATGGGTTGTTGTGAGGATGAAGTAAGCTCATACAATTGAAGTGCTGATCATGTTACCTCGCTAATGGTAAGCATTAAAATATTTGTGAATACCACCATTACCACACCTAGACCACCTCCTAGGAGAGGGAAAAGGAAGTAGACAAAAAAAGAAAAAGAAAAATGACTAAGGAAAAAAAGAGAAGTCAACAGTCATAAAGACCTGTAAGGGTATCCTCTCTGGAGTCTTTGGACAAGATTTACCTAGAGTTTCTCAGTGTTGTCCATAGAGCCCTGGGGGGCCCCAATGCCCTTTCAGGGGGTCTGTGAGATCAAACGCCATTCGAAATCATGCTAAGACATTATTTGCCTTTTTTTGTTGACATTTCACTGATGGTACAAGAGCAATGGTAGCAAAACCCAAGGCAATGACACAAAGCAGCACTGACCATCACTGCTCCCTTCCCTGCCACACACTTACAATAAAACAAGGTGAGTTTCACAACGCAGTTAAAAATTACCAAGCTGTAAAGTTTCATTCCTTGGAAGCACACCTCTTTAGTCCTCTACGCTGAAATGGTCAGTCCACATAAAGACTTGTGCTGCGTGCAGGTGCGTCCAGATGTACACCAGCTGTCTCGAGCAAAGCTCTCCTGCATCTGTTGCAGCTGTGAGCGCAACCAGCGTCTTATTCCGTAAATCACCATTTTTACTTGAAATAACGACTGACAAGTTATGGTTTTTCAGACCTGGGATCTGGCGGACATTTTCTCATAAATGAACCGAGACTGTCACTTTAAGGACACACCTGACATTTGCAACCAACAGGAAAATTCAGGATTTAAAAGTGAAAATTAGAATTGTGAAAAAGTTGGATACACTGTGAACTTGATAGCTTCCCAACACTGCAATGAGACTAGTGGTTATATTAACAAATGTGACTTTTTGTCATCAGATAATGAAAGATAGTAACATCCAGAAGATCTATATAAATCAGTGAACTGCTATTGCCCAAAAGACCGATATACTGTATGTCACAAATTCATGCACCGGTGAAAGACCCATCCAAATAACACAGACAAATGGATTTTAATGTGATAAAGAAGTTCATTAACATGGTTTCAGATTCCACAATGAAACAAACTTTTAAGAAACTACCACTTACTGAGGTTTGGTACTGCATCATATAAGAATATCCACATTTATCTGAAAAGCTTTTCAAACACCTCTCCCTTTTCCAAATACGTATATGGGTGGAGGCAGATGTTCTTTATACATTTCAGTCATACAGTTAATGTTCTTTATACATTTGAGTCAGACATTGAAGACAACTGCAAAAATGTAAAACAGTGTCACTCTTCTCACTAATTTTTTGCTGATGGTTAGGAAAATATATTCTTATTTTTCATTAGTGTTAGCTGCATAATCATGTGATAGGTCTATTATTTTAAAATTGATCAATAGTTTAATTTCTCATTTTTAATTTCTCATATGTTAAATATCAGTATCAATAACCCACATAACCAAAAGTTCCTTGTGGTCCTCAGTAAGTTTTAAGAGTGTAAAGGGGTTCAAAGACCAATAATTTTGAGAAATGTAGATCTAAACTATCAAAAACATAGGGAAATCTCTCCTCATTTTGTAAGATCCTATAGTCTGTCTCAGTGACATACTCAAGTCTAATACGCCTCCATCAGAACATTTCCCTCCTTATATTCAACCTGAATCTTTGGCAGACTGAATAATCAAAGTTCATTTTCTTCTGCCTTCAGTGTTTTCTTAATCAGCTTTAACACTCCCAAATGGTTATTATGTAGCCTATGGCTAAACCCAAGACTCCAAGAAAAATTGATCATTCTTCTTTTTGCTGTCTCTCAAAGTAGTAAACTAAGGCAAAAAAGTGGCTCATTGTGTTTTTTACAGTCAAATCAGTCAGCAGGCCTTGGCATTGCCTTGTGTTGTACTGTGTGAGCTTGACAGAGAACTGGCAAGGGATAAAGAGTCAAGGGGATGCTTCTTAAAATCAGATTTAAAAGAGCATTTTTATACTCTGTAGCAACTGAGCCACTGGAAGAAAAGCTGACAAGAGAAAAGAAAGGGAATGCCTAGTGACACAGGCTTGAGTAAGAGGGGATGGCAGGTGGGACTAACTCTGGATAGGAGGGATGCCATCTCCTCCACCTTAACAGGACAGACCATGAACACAAATATGGCTAACCTGGTTGTGAGATAACAAGAAGCTTCATATATTCTCAAATATGTAAAAGGCAATGTCATCAGCTGAGAGGGAAAGAAGAGGAAGATATTTAGGAAAAACAAATCTGCCAGAGAAAGAATGAGTCTGCCAGGTATTTTTAGTGTCATTTTGATGTCTGAGATTATGAATCTAATGAAAAACATTAGGTCAAGGCCACTTTTAGCAACAGTCAGCAGTTCAGTGATGGCAGAGGAGAGATGATGGTTCACCCAGTGTTGGGTTTGATCAGCAACGTGTAATTGAAGGAAAGAAAGGCAAAACTGGTGTAGCTAATAGAAGGTGATTTAAATGACACATTATATAGTTCAGACCCGGTAAGGCAGGAAAAGGGCTGACTGACAGTGATCTGTGAGGCGGGTCTGGGTCGTGGCTCTCAGCCCTGGCTGTCCACAGAAGTCACCTGCGGAGCTTTAAGAATGTAATAACACAGATGTTCAGGCCCACGCCCACAATTCCTTCCAGGCTTAACCGGTCTAGAACAGGGGCCTTTGCACTGACATTTTTTCGAGTTCCCCAGGTTGAGAGCTACCAATGAGAAGTTGTGTCAAGGCTGTAAAACTGTGGCAGTGATAGTACCTAAACGGTGAGCTGGGAGAATAGGAAATGGTGAGATAGGGCCCCAAAAGTGGGATGGCTGAATGGGAATGTCAGTGGTAACAGTTTCTAATGATGATAGGATTCAGGTTGAGTTCATGAGAGGGGTGATAAAGGCAGAGAAGAAGAAACAGTTCCTGGAGATGAGGAGGTTGAAGAACCAGGAACACAGGGCATTAAGGAGCTCATCACAGTGTGGAGGGGAAATCACTACAAACAATGGCAGAAGATGGCACAGAGGAGACGTGAAGTAGGAGCAGAGCTAAAGTCTTCAAAAACAAAGAGGAGCAGCCAATGGGTTGGTAAATGCCAGCAACACAGAGAGGAAGACACAATAATGATTAATTTTGTCTATGATGTTTACTAAAAACAAAGTTATTAGGAGGTTACCAATTCTAGCTCAACCCAAAATAGTGTTTTCAATTATTTTGTGCAGTGGTGGCTACAAAATGTTAAACCTAATGAAATGAAATCTTCTAATGTGCTAAAAGTACTTTCACTGAGGTATAAAACATTGTGAATTTTGACAATTCTGAAAGAAATTCTAAAAACTTCCCAGAATGTTTCCTTTTTTAAATATTTATTTTTGAGAGAGAGAGACAGACAGAGTGTGAGCGGGGGAGGAACAGAGGAGACACAGAATCCAAAGCAGACTCCAGGCTCCAAGGTATCAGCACTGAGCCCAACGCGGGGCTCAGACTCACAGACCGCAAGATCATGACCTGAGCCGAAGTTGGACAGTTAACTGACTAAGCCAGGCGACCTGCAGTATGTTTAAGTGTTAAGAGACTTTCTATTTGAATTTTCTTTTCCCTGTATACACATATAACTGAGCATCACTGGAAGGACCAAGAAATCACCATGACAAGGGTTCTTAAGCTGTAACTTCTTGAACTAGAAGCTAGGCATGGGAAGAGAGGGTTCATAACTTTTATTGGATTCTCAAAGGGTTTATGACTCTAATACCAAGAACCACTGAACTAAGAGATATTTCATAGGTAAGGCAATCAAGCTGTTTTTAAGTGAAACCATGCCATGCTTATTGAAAAACCTCCAAATTCTGCCAACAAGATGACATAAGTCAATAAGTCAATATAAGTCAATACTTTTTCAACCATAGGTAATGCCCATTTGACTATTAAAAGTGTGTTCAGTGAAAAGCTTGTATGCAAAGATGAAGAAACAGAGGATAACAGGAGAAAAGACTGATTTAAATGAAAGCCCTATCCAAGGGCACAGGAAAGTACAATGTAATGTCCCCAACAATACACAATGTGTCCCTGGAGAGTCAGGCTTCTACTACACATTAAAAGAGTATTCTTTCAAATGTACTATGGAAGCAATTATTTAAAGGAATATCACAGGGAATGATTTTGGAAATGTATAACTCTTTTTGTAATGCAACAAAGCCTATAATTTATTGTTTGGTGCTTTTTTAAAAATCAAGATCGGTATAGATATAGAGTTTGCTTATAGCAAAAAATATGTCACTTGATAAATACCCTTTCCCTCCCAACATAGTGGATTTGATGGTAAATACTATTAAGGCCCACGTTAGAGAATGCCACTGCTCTGTAATTTTTGTCATCTACCTGCTTCGTCCTTCTGCTAGGAGAAAGTAGCACCACCAATTAGGGAAGCACTACAGTGTTCTCTCCATTCAACTGAAGCACCTACCAGCTCCTCCTTAACAGCCACGCCTTCGGAGCCATCACTGATCTGTAGGGCAGTCTTCTTTACCCGCCGCACCCTCTTTGGTTTGGATTCCTTGAGAACAGGCTGCTTACGACTTCTGGGTACTTTCTTTTGGGGCTCCCAAGCACTATCTTCCTTGTCATCTTCAGAGGCAGATGATCTAGGAGCAAATTCATAGAAAATGAATGAAAAATGAAGCCAAATGTTAAAGGCAAAAAAGGCATGCTTCTTGAAAAAAGAATAAGGTAGGAGGTGTTTAATATAAAATGGAGTGATGTGAGCACAGGCTATGCGTACATATTGCTAAGTACTGAAACAAGAGGTGATCAAGGGCCAGTGTAAAAATAGCCCGGATATGCGATGAATCACAGGTGTCTCCAATCCCCTCTCACCTATACAGCACGTGCGCATGCAAGCGCGCACACACGCGCGCTTGCGCGCACGTACACACACACACACACACACACAACAGAGGAAATCATTCATTACCTTAAGCAATTTATTGGGTGGTGTCACACCACAGTCACTGTGAGCTTTGCCATTATACCAGTGAAAAGCACTTTAACAGTTTCCTAAGTGGTAATCAAATTAATTTAAATAAAGTTATTCAAACCAATGTAAAGAGTAGGAAATGGCTGTAGGAAACATCCTAAATTACATAAAAAGCCAACAGTGGGGCACCTGGGTGGCTCAATTGGTTAAGCATCCGACTCCTCTCTGCTCATGATCTCATAGTTAGTGAGTTCAAGCCCCATATTGGGCTCCGTGCACTGACCTCGTAGAGCCTGCTTGGGATTCTCTCTCTCCCTCTCTGACCTCCCCAGCTCACTCTCTCTCTCTAAATAAGAGAATATAAACTAAAAAAAAAAAAAGTGTGTGTGTATATGTGTGTGTGTGTGTGTGTGTGTGTGTGTGTGTGTGTGTGTGTGTGTGTATGTATCCCAAAAGAGACCACTTCTCACCACTTTCACTTCCAGGACCCTAGACTTCTACAATAATCTCCTTAACTGATCCCCTGCTTCCATTCTTGTTCCCCTACAATCTGCTCTCCACCAAGACACCAGAATGATCTTGTAAACCAGATCATGTCACATCCCTGTCCCAAACCTTCCAATGGCTTCCCAACCCACTGTCACTAGCTAGACCCCATAACCTGACCTTTACTGCCCACTTGCTTGTATTAACATTTTTCCAGTCTTATATTTTTCCTTAAGCTCTTCTCTCTGGTGACTTATCCCTTAAATCAGGCAAATGAAGCCCAAAACCACCCTTCACATAATGGGATTGCCCTGACAAGACGTCTTGCAGGTCCAGACCACCCAGTCCCTCTGAGCTAAAGCCCTGACTTGCACCTGCACAGACAGACCTTAGAGTGACCCCTGAAATGTCCAGCAATTACCTTTACCTCATTATAATACTAAAATCTCCACCCAAGGAGGGGCACAAGCCTCATTTACATAACATACAATGTATGTATGGGTATGTTTCCTTAAGTGCATGCGTGACCTTTGGCCCACCTCTACAATGACATGGCTTCTTTGTCATCCTAATCCAAAACAAAGGGTACCTATTCACCCTCTTTTGGGGAGTCACAGCTTTGCAAGATAATCCCAGTGATCTCCTTATTTGTTTTGAATAATGTTGACTTTGTGTGACAACTCCCCCTGGTGTACCTGTGACTCACCAAGGAGCAAACTCACGTTGGTCCAGTTACACCACTTCAAAGTAAGACTCTGACACCTTGTCAAGGCCTTTGAGGTCCTATCCATTCCAATCGCATTTCCAGTCGCTCTCAGACTTGGTGACTTCTTGTCTGGCCACACTGGTCTTGCTGTTGCCTGAACACAGCCAACTCATCCTGCCTCGGAGTCTGCACTTGCTGCTCCCTCTACTTGGAACACACATCCACGTATCCTTGCAAGTTGTACTTCCAAATCTCACTCAGATCTCTTGTCACATCTCAAAGAGAACTTTCCTGAATACTGCATCCAAGATGGTCCCTGCCCAGAACCACTCACCATGCAATCCTTTGCCCTGTTTAATGTTCCTGTAGAGTACTTATTACTGCCTAACACTTATCAGTCACTTATTTAACAAATAACTTCAGGCCACACACAGTACAGTGCTCTAAAGCAGAGGCTCTCAACTGGGGACAATTTTATCCCCACAGGGAATACCTGGGAACGTCTGGAGACGTTTTTAATTGTCACAACTGGGGGGATCCGATTGGCACTAGTTAGTCTAGTTAGAGACCAGGGATGCTGCTATTCATCCTACAATGATTACATCCTAAAAGACAGTCTCCACAGCAAAGAATTATCTGGTCGATAGTGCTGAGTTTGAGAAACTCTGGTCTGAAGTGATATAAAAAACTCCCTGCTCTCATGGAGCTTACACTCTAGTGTAAATATCATGTTATATCATGTTAGTTGGTTACTTTCTCTCTCCTTGTTCAATAGTTGAACATCAACACCGAAACAGAGCCTGGGACAAAGCATGAGTTCAATAAATATCTGTCCCATGAATGAATGAAAAAGACACAGCCTTCCTCAACCCAAATGACTTCCATTAGTAAGTGACAGAATGCATTCCTCCTTATACATCATTCTCCTAACCCCATATGAAACCAATATGCTTACAACTCTGAGAAGGAAGAGAATTCATCTTTGGATACCACAGTCTGGACCTTTACTTTTGCTCTTCTTGGCAATGATGACATCTGGAAGAAACAGAAGATAAAATCAGCATAATGTGAATCACTTGAATAATTATCACTTGTGTTGTCTACAAAATGATGTGCCACTCAAAACCAACACTCCAATAGCTCTGCTGTTAAAAAATGCTATAGAGAAAAAAATGAGAAGTATTCAAAAACCTGAACACTGGCTTCCCCTCCTACACGGCTGCCAACTATAAGTGCAGCTAACAGTCTTCCAATGGTTTCAAAGCCTGAGGAGTGTGGGCCATCTTTGGAAAAATGTTAGCTCCAACAGGGTGACAATTTTTAGGTTTTTTTAGAGTTACATGCTTGAGTATACCACAAGCACTATGAGGTGTTTTATCAGACAGCAAATTATAAAGTCCTTTATTAAACTATTATCTCAAAGATAAGAAGTATTTTCCCACTTTTATATCTTCTTACAACATAAAAAAAAGGCCTATCTATAAAGTTGACAGTCAAATAAATGCTGATGGACTGAATAAGCAGCCATGTTATTCCTAAAACAAGAGCATGCATTCCCGGGGCGCCTGAGTGGCTCAGTTGGTTAAGCATCCGACTTCAGCTCAGGTCACAGTCTCATGCTTCGTGAGTTTATGCCCTGCATCAGGTTCTGTGCTGACAGCTCGGAGCCTGGAGCCTGCTTCGGTTTCTATGTCTCCCTTTCTCTCTCTGCTCCTCCCCCACTCATACTCAGTCTCTCTCAAAAAGAAATAAACATTAAAAAAATTTTTTTAATTAAAAAATAAGAACATCCATTCCCTTAGCTTATGGTATTTAAATAAAACACTTATTTGAAAATTAAAAACAATCACTAATGTCACTAGAAAATATTTACCAAATTCAAAGGCCCAGCTCTTTAAATTAAAACATGGAGACAAATAACCAGAGACATCCTATAATACAGGAAGTAAGCAAATTTACTTTAGCTAATAAATTTTATTACCTAAAGAATGTATGTCAAACTCTAAAATCTACATTAGACTCTGACATGCTTGGAACCCTTTAACCAGTCATATGTTACAATGCCTCCAGTTCTAACTTCCACTTAGAAAAAGAAGGGATGCCTCACAGAAATACAAAGGGGTTGTTACAAAAGGTTACATGTGCCCTCGGCTCTTTAGCTCAATTCAGTCCAGTAATTGCAGAGCTATTAGCCAAGAGGGCACCCAGAGTAAATCACAAGAACAAAAGAAAAAAGTCTCTAGGAAGTAGACAGGATAATCTTCCATCTTTTCCTTCACCTCCCTTTGTGGCACTGTATGCTTATGCAGGTCATCCTTCTTCAAATAAGTGCTTCTAGATACTGATCATCAAGGAATGGGTAAGTTTTGATTTCTGTGTTATATGAACTTTACTATAATCAAACAAAAACACAAACAGAAAAAATTAGTGTATCATGGGGTGTCATTTCAAATCAGGACAGAAATGAACTTTTCAATAAGTTGTATTAAGACAACAAGCTATCCTTCTGGTGGAAAACAAATATTTAAGTCCTACTGCCATAGCCTGAACAAAAATGCACAAAATATTTCTCACAGCTAAAACAAACAAACAATCCTAAAATAAGTATGGAACCACAAAAGATCCCAAATAGCCAAAGCAATCCTGAAAAGAAGGGCAAAACTGGAGGCATCACAATTCTGGATTTCATGCAATATTACAAAGCCGTAGTCATCAAGACAATATGGTACTGGCACAAAAAACTGACACGTAGATCAATGGAACAGAATAGAAAATCCAGAAATGGACCCACAATTATCTGGTCAACTAATCTTCAACAAAGCAGGAAAAGAATATCCAATGGAAAAACGACAGTCTTTCCAACAAATGGTGTTGAGAAAACTGGACAGCGACATGCAGAAGAATGCAACTGGAGCACTTTCTTACACCATACACAAAAGTAAATTCAAAATGGAAAAAGACCTAAATGTGAGATAGGAAACCATCGAAATCCTAGGGGAGAACACAGGCAGCAACCTCTTGAACCTCTGCCATGGCAACGTCTTACTAGACATGTCGCTGAAGGCAAGGGAAACAAAGTATACATGAACTATTGGGACTTCGTAAAGGAAAAAGTCCGCACAGTGAAGAAAACAATCAACAAAACTAAAGGCAGCCGACACAATGGGAGAAGGTATTTGCAAAAAGCGTATCTGGTATAGGGTTAGTATCTAAAAATCTATAAAGAACGTATCAAATTCAACATCCAAAAAACAAGTTAAGAAATGGGCAGAAGACATGAACAGACACTTTTCCAAAGAAGACATCCAGAGGGCTAACAAACACATGAAAAGATGTTCAATATCACTCATCATCAGGGGAATACAAATCAAAACAACAATGAAATATCACCTTACACCTGCAGAATAGCTAAAATTAACAACACAAAAAACAATAGGTGTTGGCAAGGATGCAGAGAAAGGGGAATCCTCTTGCACTGTTGCTGGGAATGCAAACTAGTGCAAGAGTTTGGAGAACAGAATGGAGGTTCCTCAAAAAACTAAAAATAGAACTGCCCTATGATCCAGCAATTGCACTATTAGGTGTTTACCTATAGGGTAAAAAAGTACAGATTCAAAGGGGTACATCCTCCTGAATGTTTACAGGAGCATATCAACAATAGCCAAACTAAGGAGAGACCAAATGTTGCTAACTAATGAGTGGATAAAGAAGATGTGGTATAGATGCACAATGGAATATTACTCAGACATCAAAAAGAACGAAATCTTGCCATTTGCAACAACATGAAGCTAGAATGTATTATGCTAAGCAAAATAAGTCTATCAGAGAAAGACAAATACCATACAATTTCACTCATATGTGGAATTTAAGAAACAAAACAGATGAACATATGGGAAGGGGGAAGAAGAGAGGGAAACAAACCACAAGTGACTCTTAATAATAGAGAACTATAGGTTGATGGAGGGAGGTGGGTGGGAGATGGTCTAGATGAGTGATGAGTTCCTAAGGAGGGAACCTGTGATAAGCACTGGATGTTGTATATAAATAATGAATCTCTGAATTCTACTCCTGATACCAATATTGTACTGTATGTTACCCAAATTTTAAGTTAAGGGAAAAAAATAACATAAAAATATATGTAAGAGAGACAGTCAAAATAAATAAATAAGTAAATAATAAAATGCATAAAATAAAACTACAAGGGGCACATGAGTGGCTCAGTCAGCTGAGTGTCCAACTCTTAATTTCAGCTCAGGTCATGATCCCAGGGTCATGGGATTGAGCGCCAAGTCAGGCTCTGTGCTGAGCATAGAGACTACTTAAGATATTCTCTCTCTCTCTCAATCTCTCTCTCTTTCCCACTCATGCACTCTCTCTCTCTCTCTCTCCAAAATTAAAAAAAAAAACAAAAACCAAACATTTAATTAAAAAAATAAAACTACAAAAGTACTACAGAAAATAAAGATGACCATTTTCATTATTTGGAGTGGAGGCAGGGGAAGAAAAGTTTTCCTAGGCATAACTCAAAATTCCAAAAGCCAAAAGACAAACAGATTTCACTACATAAAAACTAAAATTCCAAGTCAGCAATGGGAGCACTTCAGAATCAAACCAATTTATTCTGCACTATCATTAAAACATCACAAGAAGCAGTACCTGATACCTTGGAACTGAGAATGAAGGGACTAAGGGCTGGTGTCAGTTGTCTAAGGCAAAGAATCTCTAGAAGGCCTACTCCACTTCATGCTATTAAGCAACTGCCCCGGGGAAAAGTCTGGAGAAGATTCTCTGGAAAGGATAAAATCATCTTTAGACTACAGGACACCAAATATAGTTGTGAGTGTGGGAACCATACAGACCGAATAGTAGAAGAAGAGGACCCATCCCCACAGTCTTCTTCTCCCACTAAGGTCCTAGTCAGACCCTTTGTCTCCAGAGAGGGAAATGGAAAGGCTCTTCTCTGGAGAAACTGACCAGCCCCAAAATAAAAACCTGAAGATACTAAATTCCCCAACAAACAACCCAACCAGATCATCTACTCCCACCTCTCCATTCTACAATATACCAGAATTCAGAACATTGCCATACAGACTACCATGCACCAGTTCTCACTCCACACTTCATCCTTAATAGAAATGTGTTTAAAATAAGGGGAAACAACCCATGGCAATCTCATAAAATTCTGATTAACCATTAAAGAAACAAATATTTTTTCTTTCCTGAAACAAGTGTTTCCAAATTCCCCTTTATTAGGCACCTGGAAGCCATGTTGCCGTTGAATGATGAGTAAGATGTAAACTTAGCCTCTGACAAGTAGAAAAATATGAATTTGAAAAAGGAGGTGGGAAAGGAGAATATGTTTGAGCACATAGGCCAATTTCAGACAGACCGGTTTTAGGAAGAGTATATATAGAAGTTAAGGACCTAGAAGCTATTTCTTTGAAACTGCCTATGCCAGGTATACTCCCAATGATATACATATTCCAGTTCAAAGACTGAGGTTTCTGGGAGCTGTTTCTCCTTCTACACTCTTCTCATGTTCCCTTTCTTCATATCATAGGGTTCATCAGAAACTAACCAAAATTCCATCCATTTCCATGCTTTTAAATATCTGTGTCAACTACTTATTAACAATCCTAATACCTCCAACCCAAATCTTGCCTAAGATTCAGATTTACATAATAAATTATTCATACTGCCTAAGAAGCTATTTAGATGCCTCAAACTTACCTAAAATTTCACATACCCACAATGAAATCTTGATAACCATTTCTGATCTTAAAACCCATTCCTACTCCAGTCTTTCCCATCTCAGTTAATGGCACCATCATCCATCTAAATAGATGGCTAAACCAGAACGTTGGAAACATTTTAACAGCTTCACTGAGCTGTAACTGACATACAATACATTGTACACGTTTAAAGTACACAAATGTGGCAAGTTTTGGAATATGTTTACACATCTCCACAACCAAAGTACTGAATACATCTATCATCCTCCAAAGTTCCATTTGCTAAGCCAAAGTCTTCCAAATCTTTTTTTCTGTCATCTCTCACAACCAGTCTACTAATAAATAACATAAATTCTTACTCCAAATTACAGCTTAAATTCCTATGATCTCTTTAGTCCCCAACAGACTACTGTAATAGCCTCTTACCTGACTTCCCTGCTTCCACTCTTGCCTCTACTACCCATTCTCCACATATGAACCCAAAAGATCATTTAGAAAATGCTTAAAAACCATTCCTACTTCCCACTCCATCCTCTTAGAATCAAATCATATTTTGTACCATGACCTTCTAAAATGCCCTACTCAGGCAGGACTGACCCCTGCCTGTCTTTCTAACCACAGTGACCATTTGCTGCAGCTCTTCAGCCAGTTACAACATTCTTTCCGTCCCTGTATGAATCATGATCTTTTACATCTCAAGTTCACTCTGCCTGGAACACTATTCCCGCTGCTCATCATTAGACTAGCTCCTTCTCATTTCTTACACCTCAGCATATTAGGCCTAAAATGAGTTTCTCAGATATGATATTATTATAGACCCTATTTACTTCCTTTATACACAATACAACACAATCTAGAATAATACTTGTTTATTGTCTGCATCCTCCATGTTTACTTCATGACAGTAAACACCGTGAAGTTAAAAACCACATTTGCCTTATTCTGCAGAACACAGAACTTAGCATTTAATAGCTACTCAATATCTATGTATGAAATGAACAAAAGAATATATACAAAATGGTCTCTAGAGAAATATACATTTTCCCCATCACTATTGGGCAATATCACACATGGCACTCATTGTTTTCTTTGAAAAAGTGATGATACAGAAGAACATTCTTATTCTTAGTGGCCTAAGAAATTTCCTTTTTCAAAGCTGTCTTATCTCTGCAGACACACGAGCATATTCAAAATCAGTTGCTGGGATGGTCTTAAGGGAGGAGGCACTAAATAAGGGTGAGTGAAAATCGGGGAATGGGGAGTTGAAGAAACCTGCGCACACATAAATACTACATTAAAATTGGGAAAACCACAATTAGAAACTTTAAGAGCGGCGGGGAACAACTTTTTAAGAGGCAGCTAAAGGTGTTTCCCCGAGGGTACAAAAAGAATTGCTTGGAATGTCAACAAAGATCCCTACATAATATAAACAAATAGACCTGGAAAGATCCTAAGAAACCAGAGAGTCCTTTTTTTCCCCCCTTATGAATAAGAAGCCTGAGATCCAGTAGAGATGATTTACTCAAAGGGAAAACCTATGTGCCAGTTAGGTAGCTAGAACCCAAAGCCGCAAACAGCAAGACCAGCCCTGTTTCCCATGCCACAAACATTGTATTATAACATGCTGGCGCGGGGGAGGTTTGAATAAAGTTGCCTAGAGAGTTCCCATTCACTCCTTTCCTCAACAGTTATTCAGCGCCTCCAAATGCCAGACACGCTGCCTAGGATGCGGATGATGCAGACAAGGCCATGATCTGAGAGTGAAAAGGGTGCTTCCTCCCCCATCTCCGATAACTTGAGGTGTGGAAACAAGCTAGGTTTGCCTGGGTTTTCCCATGTCTGCCCTTACGTGCTAAGAGCTGCGATGTGACTGGGAAGACGCGCCAGGTGACACGCGGCAGCTAGGAGGGGCTTTCCGGGTGTAGGTTGGAAGATACCGCAAACCGTAAAATGTAATGACACTTCTCACTTTAAAAAGGGATGTTATTTCCCAAATGAGCGCTCGGAAGTTTTTAAACGGCCCCAGGACTACCGGAGCCCAGGCGCCGGGCTCACGCGAGCCCGCAGGAACACCGCCAAGGCGGACACTCAGCTCACCTTCCCGCCCGGCGAGTCGGAAGGCCCGGGATTCTGTGTGTATGACCGCATCTTCCGGTTCCCGCCGGAAGTTTTTCAAACACCGGAAGTCCCGCCTCCCTCCTCCCCCGACTCGCCGCAGAAGCGCTGACTGCGGGAGCCGGATGTAGCCGAGCCGGACGGAGGCGGGGCTGGAACTAGGATCCCGTGGGAGCGCTGAGACTCGGCCCTACCCGGGTAGGGGCGGGTAAGGACGAGCTCTCCCTCACCGGATCCTGGTGGAGGTGGAGCCAGAGGTGCTGTCAACGCGGACCCACCTCCTCCTTCTTTCCCTTTCTCCTCACCCGCCTTAGCCTTTGCATCCAGCTCTTTGAAATTGTCAAGAATGTTTCTTTTCAGGGGCGCCTGGGTGGCTTAGTCGGTTAAGCGTCCGACTTTCGCTCAGGTCATGATCTCGCAGTTCGTGGGTTCGAGCCCCGCGTCGGGCTCTGTGCTGACTGCCAGCTCAGAGCCTGGAGCCTGTTTCAGAGTCTGTGACTCCCTCTCTCTCTGACCCTCCCCTGCTCACACTGTCTCTCTCTCTCTCTCTCTCTCTCCTAGAAATAAATAAAAATATTTAAAAAAAAAAAGAATGTTTCTTTTCATTACATTATTTTTACTAGTAGAAAAAATGCGGAACAGTCAAGTTTTATTCTTTCTAAAGTCAGTTTTAATTGTTGTTGATGAACTTCCCTCAGAGTGTTTTAAGCCTATTTTTAGCATGTTTCATTATTTCCTAGGCCCCGAGATAAGGGTTTTGCTCTAGTCTTACGCAAATAAACAAATCTTGCCTCTTCTGAGAAGCCGTCACCCTGTCTTTGAGGTGCATGCTACCTTAATGGGGGAGTTTACCCCTGGAGTCACTTGTTTCAGTCTCTCAGGCAGCTTATACCGCGAGGTAAACCGATCTGGAAACCTGGTTTCTCTTAGAAACTTGCTCGTACACTTGGGCCAATCCCTTCATGTCTTGGAACTTGTTTTCACTGCTTCCCTTCCATCCTACCCCATACCTGGTAAGGTACCCGTTCCATATTAGAGGTAAAAACTCAGAATTCTTTTTTTTTTTAAATGTTTTATTTATTTCTAGGAGAGAGAGAGAGAGAGCGTGAGCAGGGGAGGGTCAGAGAGAGAGGGAGTCACAGACTGAAACAGGCTCCAGGCTCTGAGCTGGCAGTCAGCACAGAGCCCGACGCGGGGCTCGAACCCACGAACCGCGAGACCACGACCCAAGGGAAAGTCGGACGCTTAACCGACTAAGCCACCCAGGCGCCCCAAAACTCAGAATTCTTTTACTCGAGGTAAATGCAGGTCCCAAATACCTCACCTTGGGCAAAAATGGGAAAACCCTACCCCATTTCATTTTCAGATTCTTGGAAAGTGTTGTGACTTCTAAGTCCTCATAACATAGTGCCCTAGGCGGGTCTTCCTCTTACTCTGGAAGTTCCGTTTCCCTTTCCACAAAACACAGAAGTAGCTCCTGCATTTTATTTTGATGACTCCAAGGTATCTTGTTTTTTAAGTGTTTATATAGATGTATGACTGTATAATATATATATGTTTATTTGTTTTTGAGAGAGAGAACGAGCAGGGGAGGGGCAGAAAGAGGAGACAGAATCCCAGACAGGCTCTGTGCTGTTGCGGGGCTCAAACCGACGAACCTTGTGACTGAAACCTGGGCGGAAACCAAGAGCTGGATGCTTAACCGACTGAGCCACCCAGGTGCCTCAGATGTTTATATTTTGAGAGAGAGGGAGACAGAGGATGCAAAGCAGGCACTGCGCTGACCGCAGTGAGCCAATGCGGGGCTCAAGTAACCATGAGATCATGACCTGAACCAAAGTCAGAAGCTTTAACCCTACTGCCATTCCCTAAGCTCCACTTATTTATTTATTTTTTCTACTAACCCAAATGAAAAGCTGTAAAGGCCTCCCCACCAATTCTTTCCCTTTCCCTTGAATATATTTTCTCAAAATCAGTATTCAGTAAAAAGAAAAATTGTTTCTTGGTGATGTGTTTTTTGCCAAGCACACTAAACTCTCTTCACAAAAACAGATAAAAATTAGACGTAAAATTAGGGAATAAAGTCTGTTGTTAGATCAAACCCCTGGATTTGCGGTGCCTGGCTACCTCAGCCAGTAGAGCATGTGACTCTTGGTCTCCGGGTCCTAAGTTTGAGCCCTCCACGTTTGGTGTAGAGTTTATTTGAAAACAAAAATTTTTTTAAATCTCTAAAGAAAAATCAAACAAGGATTTGTTTTAGAAGATTTTATAGGGCAGTTTTCCTTTTTTTTTTTTCTTTAATGTTTTACTAATTTCTGAGAGACAGAGAGAGAAAGACAGCATGAGCAGGGGAGGGGATCACAGAGAGAGGGAGATACAGAATCTGAAACAGGCTCCAGGCTCTGAGCTAGCTGTCAGAACAGAGCCTGGTGCGGGGCTCGAACCCATGAACCGTGAGATCACGGCCTGAGCCGAAGTCTGACGCTTAACCGCTTAACTTACTGAGCCACCCAGGTGCCCCATAGGGCAGCTTTCCATACGAATGACTCATTTCCATGTGTTTTGAGTACTGAAAGGCCAAGCAAGGTATTGAAATACCTTATGAGGGGGCCTTGCTACCTACAGATTCACCCAAAGTAAACATACATTTTACTAGATAATGTTTGCGCTATGGGAAGAAAACAGGACTCTTTTTCAGTTTAGTAAGTCTGTTCATCTGTATCTTAAGATTCTTGGTCAGTAAGGATCGGTTTCTGAGATTGTTCAGAGTTGGCTTTTTTTCCTCCTCCTTAATTTGTAGTCTTATGTTGTCTCTCACAGCGATTCCAGAAGCTTTGGAACTGTCTGCTACAACCACAGTCTGCTCCATAATTTCAAGTTCTGAAAATACTAGAGAACACATTACAGTCCAGAATTATGGGAAGGGAAACCAGGTCATAATAATCAATAATAATTTAGTATTTACTATTCACCTATTTCTGATGTTGAATTGTGCTATACAGGTAGGAACTAAAAAGGGTCAAGAAAAACCAACATTTTGCAAAATCTTTTGCCATAATTTCTTCCCTGGAGGAATTTGCAAATAAGACTGGAGACGATATACAGTCATAAGAGACAGAGCCATACAAGACAGTCTAGATTCAAGGGTTAGGTTGTATATTAAATAGTCCCAGGGATAAAGTGAGAATGAGTGTAGGGATTGGCCAGTGTAGTGCTGGATCTTGACTCTTCCATCAGAGATGTTTGCCTTTCAGCCGGGGAAGGAAAATGATTCCTAAGTGAAAGTAAATAACCTATAAGGTTTTAGACACCAGACATCTGGGAAAAAGTAAAAGCTGGGGTGGGGTCCTCTAAAAGCAATGCAGGTGGCAACCCTGCTCCAAAGGCAAGTAGAACTGTCCAGAAAGCATTTTTCTTGGAATTTTGCAAGATAGCCATTCCCACTGAAAGCTGTCAAGGGAAATTTATAATCCCTGAGTATATAAACCAGGCCCCACCACAAAGACTGCCTTTTCTCTCCAGGTTCTTGCCCAATCTATTGTTTACTTTTGGATCTTAAGTGCTGAATTTCAAAAAATTCATGACTTTAGCCTGGAATAATCTAGGCACTCACCTGAGACTTAGGCAATAGAATCTGGGAGTCATGAAACATGTTTTGGAGGCTATTTCTTTTTATTTCTGCAAAACATATAGCTATGCATATGATATTTCTTGGTATGTTATCACTTCTATGTTATTATCTGTGTTTTCAAGTCCTTTCCCTATGGGTTCTGTCTCCCCAGGGAGACTGTGATAATAGTAATGACTTGTATTCATTGATCATCTATGCTGTGCCAAGCACTAAAGTAATGCTTTTTCATGTATGTGTGTACTTAACTCCCATATCAGCGCAGTGAGATATTGCTATTATCCTCTTTTTATAAATGAGCAGACCAAGGTACAGAGAAGTTAAGTAACTCATCCAAAGTCACATCAGCTATTAAACTGCAGATCTGGATTTAAACCTAGTACTGAAAGACATCCATGTGTCACCACTCAAAGCAGAGATCTTTCCTTGTCTGCTACATTGGCCAGTGCAAGACTGAATCTTTGAGATGCTCAGGAACTGTTGAATCTCTAAATACACTAAATAAAGTACTATCTACCCACCTGGCGTATAACCAGGCCCTTCTCTCCCTTGACTTCAAACTAATCAAAGTTCCATGGGAACAAAACTTCTTAATATAGATGCACTATATTTTGCAGCCACTAAATTGTAAGGTACACGGAACTAAGTCTTAGTCATTTTGGTCTCCCCTTCTCTAACTTCTCCCTCCACCTACGTAGTGCCCAAGCCCAATAATGCTTGACAAATAATAAGTACTTAATAAAATAGTAGACTAATGCGTGGCCCGAAGAATGTGCCTGGTGTAAAAAAAATATCCTTCCTCACACTATGAAAGTAATCTAAAGCTCCTGCCACCGGTGAGTTACCGTTTAAAAACTCAACCGTAAGGACACATAGGTGACACTTAGGTGACTCAGTTGGTTAAGTGTCCCACTTGGGCTCAGGTCAAGCTCTGTGTCGGGCTTTGTGCTGGCCGCTCAGAGCCTGGAGCCTGCTTCTGATTCTGTATCTCCCTATCTTTCTAGCCCTCCCCTGCTTATGCTCTGTCTCTCAAAAATAAATAAATGTTAAAATAAAATAAATAAAAATAAAAGTTTGGAAGTTCAAACTTTTTATGCCTTAGAGTCAATCACCTGGCAAAGGTAGACGAGTATATTTCAGATTAGAGAATGCACAAACTGAAACTAAGCCCTATTTCATTAATTTGCATATAAACCTTGCCCATCCACTTCCCCACTCCTAGAAGCTCTCATTCCTAACACTGAAACTCATTGGCTTCAATGAGCCTCTCTCAATAATTCAGCTGGGAATGTAGGTATTTCCTGCAAAATATAAGAGATTATTAAGCAGAGGGGAGATGGCCTGTGTTTCCCAAATAAGAAAGAGGTTTCTTTTATGTTAAGAGAGTTAGACAAGGCTGGAAATTG